ATTTTACTTTGTTTGTGTAAAGCTGCTTTGAGACAATGACCTTTGTAAAAAAGCGCTATACAAATAAAAATGAATTGAATTGAATTGAATCTGAGGCTACAGTGGACACAGACTCACTCAGACTATTTAGTCGAAAATTGGATAAGTATTGTCTGGACCCTAATCTGATGTTTGATGTGAACATCTGTGTGTACATGTGAATAACTGAAGCTCCTAACCTGTATCTACATGACTTTTTAAGGTATTGTGATGCTGCCCCATGACATATATTTATGTATGTCCTCTAAGTCACAACTATCTGTCATGCCATGTGACACGTGTGCCATGTGACGATGTTAATATCAGATCAATATTAGTCAATAGTCAGAGTTCAGAATAAAATAGTGGATGTGCATTCCTAATTCGCACACAATACCACCTGAATAACAGTGTGGAAATTATGTTGACGGGTGGTGATATACACATTTGTATGTGTATGTACATATGTAAAGCTTACCGCTTAAAAAACTTCCAGCGGTCTGCTCCAGAGACGTCCTCAGGTTTGGGTTTGTGCAGCTGAACGCCCGGCAGCACCCTGGCACAAGAACACACATACAAGCTGCTGCAGAAGGTGTTCACCACATCTCACACAAATATAGCACATGAGAGGAATAAGTCAGAGTGGTTTCCGTAATAATACATAATACTTGATTTACTGAAATCTGTCATGTTTTGTACAGTGTGGAATCTGAAACTGTGTGTTCCTGTCTGCTTACCGACACAACACAGAGCACAAAAACATGACAGAACGTACAGATAAGTGACAATAAACAACATAAAACGAAATGAATGTGTTTGTGTGTGTTTGTCTGGTTGGGGTATGGAAACTGAGGAGGGAATGTATATTGAGATAGAATGAACTGTAAGCTAAAGGAACGCATGTGCAGCCACATTTCCGATAGCGGATAGCGGTGGTGGGAAAACGACAAGTGGTTGTGGTGCGATGTGTGTAATGTAACGCCAGTGCTGCCGCGACCAGCGGTGACGGTCTACTCCGTCACACAGAGGAAAATAAAGACAGTGTCACTGGAAAGAGATCGGTACAGTATGTGTGGGTGTGTAGATTTCCTTTCAGGATGCAGGTACAGGAAGTAGTGTGTGTGTGTGCATATGTGTGTGCATGTGTGTGTGTGTGTGTGTGTACCCTGCTAGTGTCTGCAGTGTCTCTCTCCTCTGCTCAGCATGTCCTCTCCAGCGGCGGTCGATGAAAGCGGGAACGGGATCAGCAGCATGCAGGCGGAGTGTGAACCGTGGGTGGTGAGGGAGATTACTGAACATGGAGTTGAACTCGGGAACCTTCCTCTACAGTTAGACGCACACACAAATACACACACGAATACACACACAAACATCACCCAGTCTATTATCTTACATAGACAGTATATCACTGGATACACCTTTTATATTGTTTATGACCAAAGTAAGAAACAACCATGTATATTGTACATCACTGTGAAATCCCAGGCTACACTACATCTGCATCCTTTGTATTGTTTGAGAATAGATCACGGGTTCAGGTTTTTGTAGCCAGAGACCCCAGTGCTTGTGCTTTTCTCAGTAAAATGAGAAGCTGTGTGTGTGTGTGTGTGTGTGTGTGTGTTTTTTAATATCTATAACGTCAATAGAGAAAAACGAGAGGCCGGTGAGGGAACAACTGTGTATAGCTGTTATAACTCAAATGAAAACAGAATCTAACTTGTTTTCCAGACTTTCCACAACATTAAACGTAACTATAAATGATTCTTTGGCAAGTTGTTGTGGTATAAGAGGAATAAAACACTTCAGGCTTCATCTCATCACCCGGTTGTTGATTATTCTCCCATAGCAGCACTCTCCCAAGTGTTTTTACTCCCCCAAATGATATTACATTAACAAATAACTAAAGTGAAGCAGAGGATATTGATCAATTGGCTGAAATAAATATAGATAGGCACAGATGAACAATTTTAGACTTTTAGACATTTTTTTTAGGTCTTATAGGATTAATCAACTGGAGGCAACAGCTAAAAAGATAAAATATGAATAATAGATGAATAACTGTGATAACATTTACATTAATTCACAGACACTAATCAAAAAGCCCAATATGGTATTATACTGATAATAGAGAGATAGAGAGAGAGAGAGAGAGAAAGGATGATTTTGTATTTTTATTCTATTTTAGCACCATTAAAACCGATCTACCTATTAAAGGATAACAAGCCTGCCACGAATAACATCAAATACACAAATCACACAAACTCTTCTCAGTGTTAGTCTTAAGACTGTATGTGTTTCGATAGCTGTGACATTAAGCTTCATCACTCACCAGGCGGTCCACAGACCCCTGAGCCCTACAGCTCGCCCGGATGTGGTCCATCTCCGCTGACACGGTGAAAACTGGATCTGAAACAGGACAGAAACTTTACACCTTTACATTCAAGCACATATCATCCTGCTTTATCTGTTATTTAAGAATTATAGCATTGTGATGATAAAACTTGATAATGATACTTCTACTACCACTACTACTACTACTAATTAATTGTTTTATTCTTTTACTGTTTCATTTGTATTTTATTTAATTGCTGTCTGAATTTACAAACTGATATTTTGCCAGCACTTGTTGTCTTTTAAATGGTAAATGGTAAATAAATAAAGATGACTACTACTATTACTACTAATACTAATACTATTTAATTCACTTGAATTTTATTTTGTAAAGCTTTTAACAATGGACATCCTCATAAAGCAGCTTTACAGAAATATATAAATTCAGGATATAAATTATAAATTTATAAATTTATCCCTAATGAGCAAGCCAGAGGTGATGATGGCAAGGAAACCTTGAGAGGAACCAGACTCAAAAGGGAATTCACCCTCATCTGGGTGATAACAGATAGTGCGATTATAAATAATTCCCTTCTATAACTGTGTACTATAGAGTCAAAAAGTCCAACTGTGTAAACAGGAAATTCAGTATAGGTTCCACATGAAGTCTATTTTGGTGAAGTTATCAACTGTTTACTACTACAATCAGAATCAGATGAATCAGAATGAGCTTTTATTGCCAAGTGTGCTCACACACACACACACACACACACACACACACACACACACACACACACACACAGGGAATTTGACTGGGTATAAAGCTTCCAGGACACACATACCAATAAGATGGCAAGACATATAATAATAAAATTTACAAATAATAATAATAAGAGAGAATATCTAACACTGTACAGTAGACACAATAGGCTTAAACGGAATATATATATGTACAGATATAATACATATTATATATATATATATATATATATATATATATATAATACAGCTATGTGCAAGGTGAAGGCAATGGCAGAAGCTTTAAGGATATGTGTACAGGTAGTATAGTAAAGAATGAATTTATATATTGCACAAATTGTACTACTAACACTACTACTGATAATAATACTAATAATAATAAAAGAGTACTAATACTAACACTAGTACTGATAATAATAATAATAAAAGAGTACTAATACTAACACTAGTACTACTTATACTACTACTACCACTACAACTAATAATAATAATAAGAAGAAGCAGAAGAAGAAAAAGAAAATTATTGTATAAAAGAGGTATCACTGTGGAAAACTGCACTGCTAAATCGACATGTTAGAAGGTGAAAATATTTACAATATAGACATAAGACATATTTATTGGCAGATAATTTAGCTTGTTTCTAGAAATAAATGTTTAAAATTAACAAAATTATTTTCCAATAGAACAAAGCTATTTCAAGCTTGAAATGAGTAAAAATGTCTTAAAAACAGGTTTAGTAAGGTTTAGGAGCATATATTTTGTTTACTGTAATCTTATAATAGGAAATACTAAATAAATGTGACTGTGTTCAAGACATTTTTTATTTGCTAAGATGTTTTTTTTTTCTCAGTGTCAGTAACTGTTTACAGTTTAGCCTGGCGTTAGCTAGTAAGCTAAGCCTAACTCTTCTGAACTTACCGTACAGATAATCATACTCCCTCTGCGCTCTGAATCCCTTATTGCCTTCATTTTTCCTGTGAAGCGTGTGGGTGATGGAAATACTCATTTTACACGTATTATAAGCTATAATTATGTCGCCTTTGCTACTTTTAAAGTGCAATGTTATTGCTCGGCTAGCTAGCTAGTAGACAACGGTGACAAGTGGTTATGTCGCCATGGCAGGTTACCATGGAGACTGTAAACGACCAGCCAAAGCGTTACTTTAATGTTACCACCAGAGGGCGCAGTGGGGTAGTATCACCTTACAGCTTAAAGTGATCATTAGTACTGCCTGTGATTAACAGCAACAACAACAACAACAACAACAATAATAATCTGTATTACTGTAATGGAAAAATCTTCCAGCTCTCGTTTTGTTTCGCTTACTGACATAGAAATGTATGTGTGTGTGTGTGTGTTTTCATCCTTCAAAGCTGTAAGCTGTCTGTGCCTCAGGTCATTTTAAATGCCTGGTATTTCTATTAATCACCACCTGCACCAAAACAGGAAAAAAAAAAATAAAATAAAATAAAATAACCACAAAGTTATGTTCATACAGTACTGTGCAAAAATCTTAGGCACCCTAATTTCTTTATACAAATTTTGTCTTTGATATTTATTTTATGATTTTTAAATTATAGTTCTTTAACATTTCCAAACATTACTTTCCCAACAAAAATGAAATGTTACAGAATAATTTTGTATGTCTGTTAAGAAGGAAACATATTACTAATAGAAGACTTTTCAGGGAGAAAGAAAAGAATGCTGGCTGTCAGGGATTGCCTGCAAAAACAGAAGATATAATCTCAAGTTGTTCCTCTTTTGGCTGCTCCCGTTAGGGGTCGCCACAGCAGATCATTGGTCTTCCTGACGCAACCCTCCCCAGTTTTATCCGGGCTTGGGACCGGCACTGAGAGCGCACTGTTACACGAAACCCGAGAGGCTGTGGTTGGTTCCCTGGCTAGGAATCAAACCCGGGCTACAGCAGTGTGAGAGCTGCGGCCTAACCACTCGTCCTCCAGGGACCCTAGCTATAATCTCAAGTGTGACAGTCAAACTCAGAAGAACTGTGGCAGGTTGTCCAAAAATTGTATGAGGTGCGCCTGAGATTACTGATGCATTTTTAAAGGCAAACAGCTGTCACTTTGTTTAGTTTAGTGCTGTTTACTGGACTTTTTTTTGTCATTTTTGCTTTACAGCATTTATTTGCATTTTACATATAATAAGGCAGAAAAAGCAAGCTTGTCATCAGTCTTTAAGCTCAATTCTCCAGGTCTCGCCAGCATGAAATAAGATCAGATAAGATCACACAGATGAAAAGAATGGCATTGTACTTTGGAAGAACAGACTTGTGAGTCCAAGGACTGAGGCAGCCTTCTTAATTATCTTACTGAGTCTGTTAATGTCCTTTGTAGTGATGCTCTTGCCCAAATACATAGCATTAAAAAGGCACTTAATACTACTACTGTAGTAAAATGTGTACAGCAGATTCCCATGTACACCAAAGGACTTCAGCTTCCTCAGAAACTAGCTGGCTCTGACTCGTACAGGTTTCTTATGTTTACATGAGAAGCCAAAAAAGACTCCCACATTTGCTCCATTGTACAATGATCATCCTTCAGTCCTGCTCGGTCTGAAAGCTGTAGGGAGTCCAGTGCCATGCCCACACGTGATGATGTGACCTAGGATGAGTTGCTGGAGGGACTTCATCAGGTCGGATGTCAGCACTACAGGCCTGTGGTCATTCAGATCATTTTTTCTTGGGTTTTCTTTTTCTTGGGCACTGAAACCAGGCAGGGTATCTTCCAGAGCACTAGGAACCTTTCCAGTCTCAGACTCAGGTTGTGCACAAGCATTAAGCACTTTAGGACTGACATTGTAATCTCTCTTTAGATCTCTTTACACATGGTAAGAGGTAAAGGACAAACTGGAAGGATTAGGGAAGCTGCTGATGGTCTTCATCATGTAGTGTGAAAGTGTGCTGAGAGATGGGTGTGGCCTAAAACAGATTTTTTTTTTAACTTAATATGAACCCTACACAGTAATACACTGAAAAAATCCAGATGTAGAAATGTCAGCACTGTCTGCATGGTGTGTGACAGTTCCTCAACCTCATGTATATCAGGTGGCAGAGATGGTGATAGTTGCGGAGAATGCTGTTTATTAAAAAGGCTGGCAAATGCAAAACCCAAATCCAAAGCAATAGTCTTAATTGAGGTCAAAAGGCAGGCACCAGGTCAGGCGATGAGCAAACAGGATATCAAAGATCAAGACAAATCACAAACGAGAATGACAATCCAGAATCAAAAATCATGAACAGCAATCAGAACAAAGGCTTGGTATGTCAGATAGAGAACAGAGCTGAGCGGATACTTCACAGTGCGTGTGTGTGTGTGTGAGGTGGTAATTGGGTCCAGGTGTGCGTGATCAGTAATCTGGTGACTGTGAATATGACATTGAAAATGGTGTGTGGGTGTTGTAGTCCAAGGAGTCCATGTTTGTGGTTTGTGATGTATTCTGGGATGTGGGGTTTGATGCTCTTTCCAGTGTAGACATGCCAAAGTAAATTACTCCGCTTTATAATAGGGCTCATGTCTCAACTACAGATGTCTGCAGGACTGTTTTGTAATCCTGCTTGTGCAAGTTATTATTTATGTTTGTACTTGATCACGTTATTTTCTAACAAGTTCCTTGGTTCTGCTTCCCAAAACTAATGAAATAACTAGTAGACTATTTTAAACCATCATGACCCTGACCAGGCAGGATCTGTATGCATCTTCACATCAATGCATCTCACAATGCCACACATTCATGTTAATGAATACGGTCTTTGTTGCATCTCATGGGATTCCAGTCAGATGCACACCTCTAGTTTCAACCAGATGCCCTCTGAACCTTTCTAGCAAGCTTTTTAAAAGAAAAAGCTTTTTTAATGGCTGATTACAGCACAGGACAATCACTGAGAGGTTTTTTCCCCTCAAAGCTCTGATCTGTTTTAGTTACAGCCATCAGCAGCAACACATGTTAACTATATCCATGACCAACTCAACATGATAACAACACTGAATGTAATTATTATTAATTATTCAAAATAAAAGAATATGTAAACTCAAGCGAACTCAGCATGCTAACTGGTTTACACGTGTTCATGGATCATGCTATTCTTTATGAACTGTATAATGTTAGCTTTTATCCTTTCATTTTTCAGTTATCCTTTCACTGTGAGTTTCCTTTGATGCCCATGGGATTGATGCTGATTGTTTTGATGCTGTCATCTCCGTCTCTCACACAGTCACTCAGGTTTGTTTGACGGTGGAGTGGTGGGCTGCTTTACGTCCCAGTGTGCCCTCATTCTCTCTGTTACCCTTCTGGCTCCCTCTTTTAGTTATGCTATCATAACTAGACCTGCCAGAGTTTCTGCGTGCACTTGTACAGTATTTTCATCCACTGTGTGTTCTTGTAATGCCCAACACCTTATGTGGTCTGTTGAGCTGCACATGCATTTCTGGAAAAAGCAGTAGCAGTTGAGCACTTTTACAAATTCCAATATGCTATACAAATAATAGAATTTAAATCTAGCATTAATTATAAGTGAAACACCTGTTGTGTACCGGTGACTTAGAATAATAATAATAATAATAATAATAATAATAATAATAATGATATAGCATGTTTCATTCAAAAAGCAGGTCAATGTGCTTTACAAAATGACAATTATAATGACAGTTATATTAAACACTAGAAAAAATAGATGTCAGTTAAAAGAAGAAATGGCAGCATTAATTTAAGAAGAGTTTAAATAAAACATTAGATCATTATAGATATCGTGGCTGGTCAGGCCTCCTCTCTGGTTAAACATGAGCAGGCATTAGCGGTGCTATTCGTGGAGATTCAGGGCGTGTCTGAGTGTGTCACACAAATTCAGTCCTTGTTACAGCCCCAACCCGCTCCCCCCACGGAGTTGAATCATGAAAGCAGGTTCAGCTTTCCAATCAGGTGCTGAGGAATGATTGTGTTGAATGCTGAACTGAAGTCTATGAACAGCATTCGAATGTACATGTCCTTTTTGTCCAGGTGGGTGAGGGCCAGATGGAGGGTGGTGGTGATGGTGCCATCTGTTGAGTGGTTGGGACGTTACGCGAATTGCAGGGGGTCCAGTGAGGGGGTAGCAGGGTCTTGATGTGCCCCGTGACAAGCCTCACGAAGCACTTCATGATGATGGGTGTGAGTGCAGCGGGACGGTAGTTGTTGAGGCAGGACACTGAAGACTTCTTCGGCATGGGGACGATCGTGGTGGCCTTGAAGCATGTTGGAATGACTCACATACTCACATAGATGACCCTTCCTAGTCCTTGGCTTGGGGATTGGAGTGACACAAAGATGCACTTCTGTCTGGTGGACTGTTTTACTATGTTTCCTGGCAGGTGGCTCAAGTGTGTACCCCTCTGTACACTGTAGGACCTCGAGAATTTGGAAACTTTTTTTTACCCATAGGACAGTGATGTAGGAAAATATGCTGGCCTTTGTTTAAGGGAGGACAGAACACTTTCCCATTCTACATAGAAATCCACTCAGCAGCATTTAGTTCAGAACACTGTCTAGCTCATTCATTCTTGTGCTTCTCTAAGCCTTCCCTGGTGCCCTGACAACCAGACTTGCTTCCTGTCTTGCTTTCTGTCTGTACCTCTTCTCTACTTTTAAATTTGTTTATAGCAGTACTGGTCTTAGATCAGTTAATATACAGACACAGTTCTTGGATAAATCTATAGCACTGACCATACTAATCACTGTTTTAAGAAAGGTAATCATCAACGTCAGAGTTAGCACTAACATTAAGAGGCTAGATTGTTGATATCGCTACTCACTGTTGTCCACTGGCTAGCTTGTTACTAAGCTACTCACTATCGTCCACTTTTGTTGCTGTACTGCAATTTCAGTCCAAAATTTTGCATGAACGTTTGAAGTTCACAGTACCAGTAACTGTAAAAGTGAGGTTAAAGTAGATTTTTATGAGCTTTACATGCTCTGACAGAGCAACAAAAGATACGCTTTCTTGTAGGTGTCCATGTATTTTTTTTTCCACTTCACACATCAAAATGTCATTAAAACACATCAAAATGACATTATTACAACTTGCAAATTACCACTTACAAGGCACCACAAACGCAGCATTAGGATAATTGTCCTGCTGGAAGGCCCATTTCCCACCACACTATAACTTTCCAGCTGATGTTTGAGATGTTGCTTCAGTATTTCTAGATTATAATCATTCCTCATGATGCTATCTATTTTCTGAAGTGGAATAGTCCCTTTTCCAGCAAAACACCCCCCCCCCAATGTGAAACTGCTACCCCCATGGTTTACAGCTGGTTTGGTGTTCTTCAGATTAATAGCCTCACCTTTTCTATCTCCATACATAATTGTAACACTGATCATTAAGGCCATCATTTTGTTTCTTCTGACCAGAATTTTTTTTTCTAAAAGGCTAGGTCTTCATCCTGGTGAATAACTGCAAACATCAGTCTGGCTTTTTCATGCTGGTCTTGGAGTAGAGGCTTCTTCCTTGCATTTACTGATTAAAGAGACAATCAACTTGGTGTATGTAAATATTTGACCACCTGGAATACTCACATAGTGAAGTCAAGAACACCTGAAAGGAGCTGGGGAGGATACCCAAGAGGGCTCACCCATCCCAGCTACTTGCGAGTTAAGTGCTGATAAGCTAACTCATAGCCAGTTGAAGCTAGCGTGAAGCTATATGATGCATACATGAAGCTAATACAAAGCTTATATGAAGCAGTCACCAGCTTTGGAGGACAGGTTCACCCATAGCTCTGAGCATAGTCACAAGCTATAATGCAGATAGCTTCGAAAAACACTCGGAATGTGTACGAGGCGAGAAAGAGAAATCCATTACTGATGCCATTTTATAGCGGGGTCACCACATGATTTAGTTTCAAAGGTTTTGCCATGTGTGAAACAATGCAAAGCGGTTAGGATGGCCGAAAAAGACATAACCAATTGG